AGTCATTGTTATTATTGTTCAATTTAGATCATTTCGTTGAAACACTATCACGATCTTAGTGGTTGCCCTCAAATACCCTGGTACGACCAAGAGTGGAGAGAGTCAGCTCTCCCTCTCGAAATGCTCCCAAGTGGCCATGTGCACACAACCAATACCAGGGAAGTCCTACTCACTGCCTTCTCGTGGCGGCGGTGTTGTTTACGAACTTTAGAGGACGAAAAAGAACATCCGACGCTTTAACCGGGTTGATGGTTACGGAGGATTCTCCTAGGAGAATTGGAAAACCCTGATTCCGAACCAATAGTGTACATGGTCTCCAGGATCCTAAAGAAATAAATGGCGTATGAACCAATTATTGGTCATCGGCCACTGTGGGACTGCATCTCTTTACCTTGCTCCATTGCCTTGTGGATTAGACCCTTAGGTAAAAGGCTCCAGGTGTGGCCTCCTAATGAAATTACCTGCTTCGATTTAGGCACCCATGGGCAGTATCTCAGCCCTCACATAGACCGAATGATTTATGTAGCGCATATGTGTTTGGTGACTCCTTGTACCAATATTTAAACGAACTGTGGACGTTTTTGTTATTATAACACTCAACTATTTTTTTGCATTTTCTATATCCTATTGTAAATAGTCTTTATTGTTTAGTATTTATTTTGCTTTTGTTAATTGCTTATTCATTTAAAAATTATATTATAGGTTCATATTTCTGATAGATTTTTTTTGGGTGGACCTTTAGAACTTAGAGGATTTCAATGGCGTACTGTAAGTCCATCAGAGCCATTACTAGTACCAACTGTTCAAACGTTAGATAGTTATGAAACAACACTTAATAATAACAATCAACAATCATCATCAACACCTGTATCTACTAACTCACCATCATCACCTATTGGTGCTGATGCTTTCTGGTTAACTGGAGCTCATTTATACACTCCATTACCATATTGGGGTGCTGAAGAAGGTTCATTAGCTTCTCAATTACGTCTACATGGATTCTTTCTTGCCGGTAAATTAATTAAGATTGTTATTATTGAGAAATAGTTAAATGAATATCATATCACATAGTTTATTGAATGAAATGTTTAGTAATTTATTCTAGAAGTTATTTAATCTAATGAACCTAGTTTAGATTATTCAGTTATCCACAAGTAACTAAAGCGAACGGTAATAGTTTCGAGTCACGTTGTGAACATCAATTCTGGAGTGTGCATAGTCATTCATTTAAACACAAACATTGGTACAAGAAGACAGCAATTTTGTAAACAGTACCCACACCGCGAGAACGTAGTAAGTAGGATTTCTTTGGCAGTTGCTGTATACGCGTGACCATGTGAGAGCATTTTGAAAAGGGGAAACGAACTCTCTATTCCCTCGACTATATCAGGACATTTGGAGGCTGAAGCGTGCAGATACATTCAGTTTACAAGTGTGTTCCAAACTCAAATGCTGGCCAATATCTAACTTTGCTTATAAAATATCGAAACAATCAGCATAGGACCCAAACGCCGTGTTACGATCGACAGTAGAGACAGTCCTCTCTCTCGAAATGAATTCATATGGCCACAGTTTTATAGTCACTGCCAGAGGAGTCAGCAAAATCGGATTCCACACTGCTTATGTAAGTAGGCTCCAACATCCTGAGTAATTAAATGGCGTATGAGCCTATCTTCGATCATTAGTTACCGTCAGATTACATCTACTTACTTGTGGATTATAGGCCAAAGGCTAAGGTAGTGACATTCTCACCAGAACGTTTCAGTTCAATTATTGATCCAAATGTATGTAGACATTCTCAACTTTTACTTAATAATGATCTCACTTTTAAGATCTTGATTTCTGTGTACAGTTTAAACATTTGTTCACATTTATTGTGTTATTGATACATCTGTTATTTTCAGATAGATATGACATATTTCTGTTATAACTTGTGGCCTGATTACTCTGTTATTGTATAATGTAATGACACCGCCAGTCAGAGAGCAGTGAATTATCGATCGAACCAAGGAGGCGTAAAACCCGTACGAGCAGTCTAGAGTCCTTATTGATCCTGCTTCCCACCTAGCCCAGCCAGTTAAGTCCAGAACACCAATCTCAGTTTCTGCGATATGAATCACTTACTTCGAACATACTTGGTTTATATACCAATCCAACAGACCACATCGTACCATAAAATGGAAAATAACATTTGTATAATATTTGACCAAATGTGGCTGTGAATGTGGGAGGTAGGAATTAATATACAGAGCGTAACTCAAGAACGGTAAATTGTATAATACCAGTTCATCGGTCAAAATGAAGCTTATGATAAGAGGGATATGAATATGTATAGTTTAGTTATTTAACAATTATACGATAAAAATGTACTCATAGTATTGGTCCATAAATGGATTCCAAAAGTTACCATTCATTGTGCTTATCGGGGCACAACACTTTCATATATATTCGTTTTGAAATAGTTTTAATTCATGTAAGATATAACTCAATGAAATAGTACAAATCCTTCTCTTCTCTCCGATATGTTTTATTTTCTGTCTTAACTCTATTGTTTCATTTGAATAAAATAGGCTCTACATTGGAAAGACCTATTCAAAAATTGATGGATTCACCTTCTATTTGTAAAACTGTTAATGAATTTAGTCAGTACTTTTTAAATGAATTAAAAGGTCGACCTCGTACTGTAATTGGTATGGGTGTAGTATTTCGTTTTGCTGGAATTTTACGCATTGAATTAAATTATTGTTTCCCAATGACATATCAATCTGGTGATCAAGTAAAGCCTGGATTCGCTTTTGGATTTGGCATGTATTATATGTGATTCATTGATCAATCTGTAGTTTTGCTGTTTGAATTTTCCACTGCAAAATTATTAGGTAATAATCTTGTGTGTGTGTGTACGAAACAAATAAACAGACGAAGGTTGATCCCAATAGTAACTTGTTGTTATTATCAAATACTAATCGATACTAATTTAGATTTAATGTGGTTTCTGCTTTGTTGCATTTTTGTCTTACTTTAGATTAACTAAACTGATACTGTACACACATTTCATGTATAAATGTATTAGGAAATAAATACATATTTCAGTACATTCGCCTTCTATCTGTGTAACGATTTGGTACATTTATACTCATTGTTATCAGAAATCCATACTTTTCAATGAATGTAAAAAGAAAAACGAAAATAGTTCTCGTTATGTTCTACAACTAACCAATATACGTAGACGAACTTAAGTAATCAATAATCAGCAAGGACCAACAAAACTGATAGTTTATGCTCTGAACGCAATAGTAATGTTCACCTCTCCAAGATCGCTATTATATTTCAGACATTCATTTATATACACACAAGACCAGATCACCACCCAGTATCAGTATTAACACGGTACAACAACATTTATGATGGGAAAGTGGAATACTGGGTATACAATTAATCGGTTGTAGTTTATGAGTCGAAAATAATATAGCAACAAATTATGACTCAAATAAAAGCTTAGAACTAGGGTATTAAGAAAAATAATAATACCAAAAATACTCAATAAACATGCAATCAATATGTATTTAAATGAAACCAGAGAAAATAACTTTGATGTCTTACTACTTAATGCTAATAGCTTTATGAGAGTAAGTAGTAAGCCAGAATTCATGAAAATCTCTATCAAAATTGGATTACGTACCCTTTAACTCTCTTGAAAATCATATTCTGTTGAGTTTGATGACTACAACTGCCTTAATATACATAAAATGACAGATTAATAAGAGGGAGCAATCCCTCACTTTCACCTCCCTTCTTCGTAAATGGCTTTCACACTATTTGATTCATATTGATACAAGTACCTAGTGTATTTGTATGCTATGATTGAAAGTGTCAGTGATTCTCGTGAGATTATTTGATGAGTAGTTTGTGGGTGGTTTGGCTCCTGTCAGTCACAGCGTAGAACTTGTACTTATGTTCATCGTTGTTTAACGCCGATTAGTTCAAGGCGAAGTCTCTCACCCTTACCTACCCGATAGCTGAAATACAACAAGTAGATAATTTTTACTGTACAGTTCAGCTTACAACTCAAACGTATGTGTTAATAAATGTTAATTTCTTCTCCGCACTTCAGTACAAATAAGAAATTACGATTTAGGGATAACTATGTCATAAGTAAAAGGAAAATTAAGTAATAGGTTTACAATTAATTACTCATAACTTAAGAATCATAAAACACAACAATATTTAATGTATCAAGAAACATTTAGAAGCAGTAGAGTACAATGATTTGATTATTTAATAAAATTTAGCCAATGATTTTCAATAGAAAAACCTCAGTCTATCACCTTCATTCAATATTTACCCAGTTACTGTAGATATTTCTGTATAAATTAAAATTGAATAGTAACATTATCTAATTTTTCAGGTAGAATAATTATTACATTATCAGAAGGGGTTTGTGGAGATTTTAGAAATTTCACATTGAAATCATGAGTCAGTTGAAGCTAGACCATCATGGAGAACCTGGAAGCACTGGACGGCCGTTTCTTCCTAGTATAGGACTCCTCAGCAGTGCGCATCCACGGTCACCCAACCCGCGGGATTCGAATCCAGGACCTACTGGCTTTGCGCGCGGGCACTTAACCATTAGACCGCTGTAGATGCGCACTGCTGAGGAGTCCTATACTAGGACGAAACGGCCGTCAAGTGCTTCCAGGTTTTTCATGGTGGTCTAGCTTCAATTAACTCATGATTTCAATCTGTGAAATTATTACATTTACAAAAATGTACAGTACATTTTAAAAGGAAACATTAAATTAGTATTTTAGCATGTATACTGTTTACCTAAAAATAGTTATCAAGGCAGTAACTGAAGGTAAAACCATTTTTATATAAATGTCGATCACAGCATCTAGTTCTGTTTTGAAACAATCTTATGTAGTTATGAAAAACATCAAATCATTAATCACATTTATGAGTGATCTATATTTATTTATTTAAACACATAAACATTGCTACAAGGAGACATCAAACAAATATCCGCCACATAAATCTCATTTGATTTATATGAGGGCTGAGATACTGCCCGGTTGACCAAACCGAAGTAGGGGGATTGTTCTATACATAGAATATATAATATAAAGTAGTATATTTGTATTTTGTACATAGTGAAATTGCTATAAACTTAAAGGGGTTATACAATTCATTATTTTAAAGAAGTATTAAATCAAGAAAATGTTTAATATTCTTATTTAGATTAAGTTGTGTATATTGACATTGTAATCGTTGAAATTCTATCATTTCTAAAATATCCTTTGATGGTATAGGTATATTCGAATCCTTCCTGAAATCATTAAATAGAAATTGGTAACTTCATAAAATTAAAAGTAGTTAAGATTACTTGAAACAAATCTAATGCTTAATATAATGAAATCAAGGAATAATGTCGAACATAGGCAATCAGTTAAATACAAATTCCTCTTCGCTTCTCACTTTTATTCATAGAAAACATTGAATGAATATAATAATGGTAACTTCCCTTTAGGGATCTATTATTCTGACTACATTGAGCAATCAACTAGAATAGACAATATATAGTTAGAAAATTACTATAGAATAATAACTTTGATATGAATAATAAACCCCGACCGTTGTTGCTACCTTAACTTGGTGGTTGGGCTTGCCTATCGTGATGAAGCAACCGAGCTATACTGGCTGGAACAACCGTTCCTCAAGGTCCTACCATGTCAGACAGGTCGGTTGAAGAGCTGTAAGACTAAAAGCAACAAACCCAAGGTCCGAAGGCGAAGTCGTACTGCTGACTGTACAGAGGTGTGACAGCATTAAGGTGTTTCCTTCAGACAAACAGTATGACAGCGATACTGCCTTCCCACAAAGAGGGGTGGGGTTAGAAAAGGTTGACCCTAAAAATGCACACCTCGCCTTGTTCCACGGATATCCGTCTCCGTCGGTAAGGCCTCAACAAGTACGGAGCTGACACAAAAATCACCCATAAAATGGTCATGTCTGACCGACCTCAAGCAGTTGTAGCTTGGGCACTGCGGTCATGCTCTCAGGTCAGTAAGACCACCTCTAATCCAATTTCCTTTTCAGGTACCTCCAGAAAGCCCCTTCCACGGTGTGGGCAACAGGGAAGTGATAACCGCCCCCATACCTCTAACAGCACTCAAGACCACTGTATTCATAATCAACCTCCGTCTTCACTTCCTATTATCCCTCCTACATCGACTTTCATCTCTAAACTTCCTTTTTCGGCTTCTCCTTCAAGTGTCACCATAGCCAACGATTCTAGTGCTCAAAACACTGTCCCAGGTCTACTGAAACCTCGCTCCAAACTACACATTGGAGCTTTAAACGTACGCACTCAAATTGGTCAACAGGCTTCCTTGGTTAGGACCCTAGAATCTCGTACCATTGATGTATGCTGTGTCTCTGAAACACGCATACAGGTTTCCAGTGTGGTCATTCACTTGACCTCACCTCAGCAAAACGGAGAGCCAACGAGATACACCCTCCGTGTATCTGGTGACCCGACGGCTAGCTCTCGTGGACTGACAGGAGTAGGGATAGCATTAAACATGAATGCGGAGCAAGCACTGTTAGAGTGGTTCCCCCCGAATTATTCATTATAGTGAGAAAAAATTGGTTGAGAGATTTGACTAGTGTTTATAGTTAAAGTTAAATTGTGTAGAGTTTTCACTACTAATCAACATCAGCTAAAATGTAACAATGCTCTATCATTCTTTTGTTTATAAACTTATGAGAGTTAAGGATGAGATTTAAAGTAGAAGTATATTGTCTAACTATATATTAATATTGTTGAATGTGCATTATGTCACATCAAATCTAACATATAATCTAGATAAGGAGTAGGTATTTCAGCGAGAACCAATCACGTTTAAGAAAACAGGTTTCAGATTTTCGCTCTAAATTCACTCATCCATTTGGATAAATAAAGTTTTGGTGTTATAGCTGATTTCAGGTCGTGATAATAAAAAAACCCGAAATTGAATTCCTAAGCTTAATCATCAATTGTAAATAATAATTCTAATTTCTCACACAGGTTCATAAACCCCATTTGATCTTGTTTATTAAGTGAACACGCTGAAGGTAAGTCTGGCGTCGCTCAAAGGTCGTTCATAAATTATAGTATCACTCATAACCCTAATTGGAAACAATGTTTATATCCATATTTATTAATTTAAAAGTAGATTTCTTTTTTCAATTTAAAGAAGTAATAACCTGTAGTAGTAGACTTCAATAAATACTGTTCACCATTGGTAATATTACTGGTTATTTATTCTTCTCGACTTAGATCTAGTCATTTTGTTATTACCTTTTTCTGCCACTATTGTAGTGAACGGGAACACCAGTGGGGACAATCAAATGTTTACTATTGATTGATCACTGCGTAGTAATCAATGTCATGTATGTCAGGTCCTTCTTTGTATAGATCTAATCCTATCGACCAATTTGCAATGTGACCAATAGTCTAGATAACTTGACATTGCCTTCACTATGTTGAGATATGATGGTCCTGTTGACTATCTCCAAACACCATCTTAAAACTAAATATGCTTGGACACAAAATTACAAAATCTATCAGTAAAATCTGCGAACCATACAGTGAATACTTCATTTACAATGTGTCAATCGATTGTCTCAGACTTGATTGTTTCTTAGTTTCTACACCAACGATTCTCTGTTCTCGTCCTCTTTTCTTCGATCTTCTTAACCTTCTGCCACCAGACATTTCATTTTCGATTGGTGATACATACTACTTATATCTGTTGACATCAGTAGCACACATCACACTACAAGTACAGTTTTACGTACAACTGAAGACTTATGCAAACGTGATTCAGCATACATAATAAGCATCCTAAAATCTCCTTGAATCTCATAAAAAATATATCTGCTGAAGCCTTAATCCCTATCAAGTATTCACTTATAAGTATAGACAACCAGTTATTACGTAACAAACAATGTAGTCAAAATACTTGATAATCACCTTTGTTTATTGCAACTGATTATGGTATTACTATGTTGAAATATCACTTGCTGTTTCGTCATATATTTGTCGACGTCACGAAGGCGCGTCAAATTGATTTGTCAATATAATTGGCATGGCTAATCAGACATCGTTTTAAGGTAACATGATAATCGAGGAATATTGACAGGTATACGGTATGAATCAAGATTTTGCTTAATTATTCAAAGACAGATAAATACTATCAACTCAGTTTTTTTGAGTGAAACATATCTAGATTAACGGATGTGTTTATGCATATATCTAGATTATGGATTAGTCGATTAAGCTTTCAATTCACTTTTGATTTTATTATTGATGTAGACGGCTGATATCATATATAGGAAATGTGTATATTAATAATAGACCCAAACGGCAACTCTGCATAACAAAACATTGAAATCAAAGTTGTTTTAGTGTATGTCATTTAGTCAGTCAGTCAAGAACAACGTAGAACTTCGTACGTACGTACGTCATTTCATGTTACCATACCACATTAGCACAGAGATGCAATAGTGGTAGTAAAAGTATAAGCAGTAATCTGAAAGAGCAGGGTTTGAAGATGTTATTCAAGGAGCATAATCAAGTGAAGTAAATTTGATAAGAGAAAAAGAAAAGGGACATAAACAATACAGAAGATTAGAACTTTGGAGAACACAAAGAGTGGATGCACCTACGCCATTGCAAACGATTTTGAGCCATGTCATTTAAAGTCTCTAACTATCGGTTACTATCATCTCGCGGTCCCAACCAGGTAATCTACACCTACCAATATGACTTAGTCTGCTTGTCAGTGACTTCATGGGCTTGTGCCATGTTTTAGTCTGGCCGCCTCTAGCTTTCTTCCAATCTACTCCTATACAACAAAACATCGCACATCGAGGCAGTCGGTGGTTGGGCATACGTAACATATGTCCCAGCCATCTCAACTGATGAAGTTTCACTACTTCATCGATTGATTTGCCATCCTTACCTAGTACCTGTTTCCTAACAACTGCATCACTTACTCGATGGTCTCATGATATACGAGCAATGCTTCGAAGACATCTATGATCAAATACCCGTAACCTACGAATATCCTCTACTCTTACCGGCCATGTTTCATTGCCGTAAAGTAGAACGGAACGAACTGCTGCATAATAAATCCGTCCTTTGGTTGGTAGACGGATATCTGTTAAAATAGAATACATTCCAGAAAAACCATGAATAAATTCATGTCATTCAACATAATTTTTAGCTAATTCTTTCAACAAAAATAAGATTGAAACAATATGAATAGTAAATAATGAATAACTTTAATACATTATTAGTAAGTATAAAGTATTTCATAACCAAACTATTGGGTATGTCAATTGGTAGTTTATTAGTAAGTCTGTTCAACGTTCAATTTCTAATCTCGTTTCATCTATTTCGGTTTGAACAGTTGTATATTATCACTAACTGTCACATACATAATGTAGCATAAAAATGAGTATATGACCTATCATCATCATCATCATCATCATCAATCATCAATCATCAATCATCAATCATCAATCATTAATCATCAATCATTAATCATCAATCATCAATCATTAATCATCAATCATCAATCATCAATCATTAATCATCAATCATCAATCATCACCATCATCATCATCTAGTTACGTTTAGTTTTTATATTATTATGCAATCATGAAAAGTACATACTAAAATGAACTTACATAATTTTATAGAATATAAGACGTTCTGCAACAATACATATACAACAGAATGTTTCAAAATCAATATATTGATAATCTATAACTTGTAATCCAATTAGATTAAATACTAATGTATAACAACTAATTGGAATTTGTACTGGTACAATATCTTCAAATGCATTATTTAATTTCTAATAATAAAATATACAAAAAAAGAGATAATTTTTATCAAGAATTAAGTAATTGAAATGATTTCACAATGAACTTCAATCTACTGTACGCATAGCTTCAGTGACTTCATCCAGTTGGTTACTGCTTCAGCCGTTTGAAGGACTTTAAATCTGACAAGTTTTGGCGAAACTAAATTACTGACCCAATAAATAATTGAAAAAGATTGGTTTATACTGGCATTATGACTAGTTTGTACTGAATGGGCCAATATCAAGCTGTACACTTTCTTCACCAAACCTTTGTTTAGCCACGCTGGAAGGCGTATAGCGACTCACGTGCAATTGAGTTTAGTTCAGTCAAGTTCTTTTGTTGACCTATTTAATGGACAAAGTCATCCATACTATGACAACTTGTTGTACTGTTATTATTATTGTGCTTGTATGAAATACATATGCTTGAACATTGTTTAGCGCCTACGCATGTATTCATTCTGCTAGCTCCATTATTAACTGCCTAATCTATTCGCTGACTCATCCATTTTCCAATACATATATATTTGTGTACATTTGCACGCATTCACTACAACTACTCGCTACTGCTACTGCTATAATCGTAGTTCGCTTGCTCATCCATTTTGCCTCTGCTGTCTGGTTCGAATTATCTGCTAAATAAACTGTAGTAGCTGCTTCTTTTTGCCTTCTGATTTCAAACATCGTTGAGGGTTATACGATAACGGTTCGAGGGGGATTAGTTATCGAAGCACAACCACTACAGGTGTTATATAATCTCTAATCCAGGTCGTATTATCATGATATAATCATAGTGAACCTTGTTTCATTTAACAATTTTTTTCTTCGTTGTTACATGATTTATCTCGAACTCAGCAAGTGATTCATTTTATAACTCTGTTATGGTTTCATCAGAAAAATATTGAACGTTTTAAAATCTTATTTGACATATCAATACAGATTAAGTTAGAATTGACTCTGAATGATGAAGTGATGTGCTTGTAGAATTTCACACTAAGTTTACTTGAAACATGCTAAATACATGGCGTTTTCATTATGAATTGATTTTATATAGACAACTATTGAACACAAAATAATCATCATAACTTCTCAGTACTAAGCATGTTGTAAACAATCAAGGGAGACTATTAAGATGTATTTGAGTTATTTTATACTTTTTATTATTATTTTATTTCAACACATAAATATTGGTACAAGGAGGCACCAAATAGATATGCACCACAAAAATCATTCAGTTTATGTGAGGGCTAAGTTACTCCTCGAGTACCCAAACAGAAGCAGCTGGTTTTCTTAGTGGGCCACACACCAAGCCTTTTATCTAATAGTCTGATTTACAAGGCAGTGGAGTAACGTTAGGAGATGCAGTCTAATGTTAGTCGGCCACCAACAATTAGTCCATACGCCATTTGTTCCTTAAGGATACTGGAGTCCATTTGCACCATCGGTTTGGAATCAGGGTTATCCAAATTCCTTAGGTGGACTCTCCGTGCTAGCAACCTGGCTAAAGCGCCGGACATTGGCTTTTTATCCTGTCGATTTTGTAAACAACACCCCCGCCACGAGAAGGCAATGAGTAGGACTTCCCTTGGAGTGGTTGTATGCACGAGGCCATGAGAGAGCATTTTGGGAGGGAGAGTTGATTCTCCTCACTCTCGGCCGTAGCAGAGCATATGAAGGCCCTAAGAAACTTTGATTACGTTGAGATTATAATTTATGAATTACTTTTATGCGACGCTTAAGTGACCTAGAGAATGTTCACCTACTTGCTATTTTTAACTGAGTGTACTAAAATCCGAAACCTGCTACCTTAAATCTAATTGGTTCATCCATAAATTATAGTCTTACTCAAAATATAAAAGGAAAAACTAATTTCATAAGTAATTGACAAATCATTATTACAAACAACTAGTGCTTACATCAATAGAAAGTTTAGAGCCTCGACACCAGTGATTATATATACGTCGATATAAATCATACTTTCTAGATGAAAGATGTGAAAATTGTCGTAGATAATCTATAACGGACATATCTAAATGAAAAGTAATAAAACATTTTTGATAAAATAGTGTAAAAATAGAATAATATAGAACTTAGTAAAGTAGTTGATCATTTCAGTATGTAACAGTTTACAAAAAATATGTAATAACTAAAAATCCGGTGTATTTTAGTAAGGTTTATAAGACTTCGAAAAGCAGAAGAATTAACAATTTAAGCGTTCGCGCGCGAGACGGAAGGCCCTGTGTTCGAATCCCGCGAGCGGGATCGCGGATGAGCACTGCTGAGGAGTCCCACAAGAAGAGGAAACGACAGCCTAGTGCTTCCGGGTTTCCAGCGTTGGTCTTACATCAATCGGTTCATGATCTCAATTAAAAACTTAACAATCTCCACAACCCCTAAACTGTTAATTAACAATTTAATTGTGATTTTAAAAGTTCAATGATGATCCCTCATATCTGTAAGCTGGTTGATGTATGTTCAGATCTACTTATATTTAAAATGAATCGGGAATAAAGTGTTATTGTGAATATAGCGTAGTGAAAGGCTAGTTTTAATTTGGATGAATATGTAATATGTGGTTTACATTATGTCGTGTTGATGTTATTTCATTTTTGAAATTTACAACACTATTCAAACTACTAACTATTACTAAGTAGTATAATCATTACTTACTTGAGTGGATAACGCGACGGCGTTTGAAGCGAATGGTACTGGGCTCGAGTCGCAGAGTGAACATCAACTCGGAGATGCATCTACATCCAACTGACGAGTCCCAAATAGGACAAAACGTGCGTCACTCTGGATACACTGCTAGCCACTATCCATCTTTGCTATTAAAACTTGTGAATTAAGTCAATATCGAGGCAATACGCACAGTATACACATATACTAATAACAGATTGATCAATTGCAGTCTTAAACCTCAATGGGGAGATTCAAGCAAAACAACACCAAGTGAACATAGAAATGTATACTATAAACAAGTTAGCAAGCACTGAGTAGTTGGTAACTAGATTCCTGTGTCCGAAAAATATTGACCGTTATACTTTAATCAATTGACAAGTAGCTTGGTAACGTAAATATAATACAATAAAGTGTCAAGATGGGATAATGTTTAAGATTAATATATTGTAGAGAAGATTTGTAGCTGAAGTTTGTGGTGATGATGTCGTCAAGAAGAACGATGAAAGCTCCACGATCAAACCACCCAATTCAGAGAACAAAACTTCATCAAAATTAAGGTTCATAAATTAAATTAATGATTATTTATTGTGATTAATACGTAACTCTTATTAATCTAACCTCTATCAGTTCAATAATTAGAAACTATCTTCATAAATATATCATATTATGTCTATGTAGGTTTAATCTTAGAGTTCCGAAGATTTGGAAAATAATGAGGATGATTAATAAGTCATGGTAAGACCCTAAATGTCTCAATATCCACTCTGTAAAACCTGTCTTTAAATCTGTTTAAGGAAGGTAAATCATAACATTATACAGATTTATTTACTGTTGAGTTCTATTGATATCACGAAGCGATCTAAATTAGACAGACTTTGAAAACCTGTAACGAGAAAGTACATTGGTCTACGTAATATAATACACAAACACTCATTGATATAAGTGCATCTCTACCACTATAGAAAATCAATCAATTTCTTAGCCAATGATATGCACTTGTCTTTCAGCTTACTTTTAATTGCCATCAATTGAAATTATCATTTGGATAATTCTCATTGGTTCACCAAATCAGAAACTCGTAGCATTTTTGTTCTAGTATGGTACTATTCAGAATTACGTACTCAAAAGCTCCTAATGAGCCATCGTCTTTCAACTACTATTTTGTAAAACATGTTTTACAAATTAAACTTCCCTCAATTTACAATTCCGTCTGACCATCTTCCAGTAACACCAGTGAAATTTATCGCACATCAGACATGGCTGAACTCTATGGATCTGAGTTACACTTTGAACTACTGGAATAATCCTTTAAAGTTAACCACTAGTGAAAACAAACAACAGCAGAGTAGTGGCTGAAGTTGATAAACATTATTTATAATACAACTGGTTTTCAATGTCTCATGAATCAGTAAAGCATTTCAACTTATAACTCCATTTCAATGTTTCTATCAATGAATAGATCTTTAGTTTAATAGTTGTGTAAGACTAATCTACTCGACTGACTTCAGTTGAAACATTATTGTAGTAAAAATTCCTTTTCAAGTTCAATCATTATAACATAAAATGTTTCATAGCTCAAAACAATCTGATCATTAACATAGATATCAAGTTATGTTTGAACAACACTTATCAATTACACGTAAATTCCACTGGTCCGTTATGAAAAAAATATTTTTTTGTTGTGAATAAGTGACTTAAGTGCCCAAATACTTCATTTATTACTTTGAAAAACTGTTAGCTTACTCTCAAGTATTCGTAAATCTGATGGCAGACTAAACCAAAAACTATCTTGATAATTTGTAGTATCATGAAAATCATAGTAAACTTCTTTTCTTGGATAAATCTATAAAGTTCAAGTAGAAAATGATGGAATAAATTTTCAATATTCTTTCATTATAACAACTTTCGATCTACAGTTATTCAAATAAAGTTGATAGATTGCGTTTAGTATCGGGATTCAGAACATGATTATTGTACTATTTAACAGTTCTTTGCTCATTGTAACGGCATATATGTTGATGCTGAAACCTGAGACTTAGACCTAATACCTTTCTGTTAGGTCCCGATAAGCATAATGAATGGTAACTTTTGGAATCCATTTATGGACCAATACTATGCATATATTTTCATCGTATAATTGTTAAATAACTAAACTATTCATATTCATGTCCCTCTCATCATAAGCTTTTTCACCTATGAACTAGTATTATACAATTTACCGTTCTTGAGTTATGCTCGATCTATTAATTACTACCTCCCACATTCACAGCCACATTATGTCAAATATTGTACAAATGTTATTTCCTATTTTATGGTACGATGTGGTCTGTCTGGTTGGTATATAAACCGAGAACGTTCGAAGTAAGTGATTCATATCGCAGAAACTGAGATTGGTGTTCTGGACTCAATTGGATGGGCTAGGCCTAAAGCAAGACAATTCAGGACTCTAGACTGCTCGTACGGGTTTTACGCGTCATTGGTTTGATCGATAATTCACTGCTCTCTGATTGGTGGTATCATTACGTTATACAATAACAGAGCAATCAGGCCACAAGTTATAAAACTGTTTTACAGATGCGTAATCCACCTATCCATCGAGACCCAGAATCGAGATCAACATTGAGATGAACATGAATTCAACTGATGAGTCCCAAATACGTCGAAACCCAAGTCTTGACTTTCACTGCTAGCCACAATTTATCTACTCTATATGTGTTAGAAAACCGTTGTCTCAATGTAATCCGACCAGGATTTACATATACTCACGAAGACTCATTTAACTACATCTATGCTTATCAACAAATGGATACTTCAAACCCTTTTTAATTAAAACAAAACAAGACTTTCTATTTTTTTTAAACTATAAATAGCATGATTATGTATTATCGTAAAAATTATCTACCAAGACAAAACATTTCTACGTTAGATGATAGATCAATAAACGTTGAACAATTTACTAAATATCTGAGCAGGGAATTAGGAAAGGAGGTTGGATGTCGATAGTACATATATTATGGAAATCACTAAACCGCATCATTAGGCAAGACCTAAACAGAAATGCTGAAGGAAGAAGGAAAAGGGAAAGACCATTGAACATATTGCGTTGAGAACTGGAAGAAGACATCGAAAGAATGGCTAACAAGTGGAACGTAATTCTCAGGACCGAGTTGAATGAATAATGCTGGTAGGTGGCCCATGTTACTTCACGAGGTGTAACAAGCGTTAGTAAGTAAATATAGAAAAGCAAAGTAAATTAGAATCAATAAATGAGCTAATCATGAATTCATATATCTACCTTTTCATGTTTCTTGACAATTTGTGTATAGTGAATATAAGATTGTTTATATCAACCAAATAAGAAGTTGAAATATTTGTATTGAATCCAACTTGTATGCTATTATTAAAAATGATAGAATCCAGTATGTCTATTTAAGTGATGATTATTGGAGTTGATTAAATGTAACTATTATTAAAAATAGATTTTTTTCTCTTTGTACATTACCATTTTGATGTAAAATTAGTCAGTAAATAGTTGTCTAGTTGCATTGATCAGGTAACATGTTATTACTTAGGTTATTAGCTATGATATTCATTGTAAACCTCTGTAACTAGACCAACCATTGAGTCTGTGTTACAAAGTGCTATACACTTGTTAGATACAATTTACACATTTTGACTTAACCACGATTTCAAGCACCTAACCCTCTACCTTTATTCTAATCAAAGATCAGTTTATTTAATATAGAACCATAATGATAAGAATATACAATATATCACTTACTATAAATGAGGAGTTATCTGTTAACGTAGGATCTGAAAGAAAATCTTCCATTTCTAGACGTTGATATTTTATTCTCTCACCATTTATTGAGTATAAATGAATCGACTTGTTAAAAGTTACTTATCGATCGAAGTAATTAAATTTAAGGTCATGGTTATTGATGAAACTACTCAGATATTATAGATGTAAAACTCGTGACTTTTCTTATCAACCAATAGGTCCCCAGATTGAAAAAAAGCATAACGAACTCAATAAGGACGTTCCACGAAAATATGGTAACTAGATATGTTTGATCTTTCTGTTACTGTAGGTGGTTGGAGACGATCTGCAGTATCGTATTAACCTAAATCGCTTAGATCAGCAAGGATTATCTGTGATCTCCAGGAGTTCGAATCAATGTCACAGCCAAAGACCTTAACAATATTAATAGAGAACTCTACAAGAGATTTAGATTTATGAATATACCTTCAATAATAATTTTCTAAGTCTTTGAACGTGGCAATATCAAAGTAATCCGAAATTTCCAGTAAATGTAGTCAGGGTTGGCGATTGGGTATCGGAGATACTATTCAAATACAATAAACTAGTGAAATAATAACATTATGAGGAACGTAGAAACTTAGGATCTAACGGAAGATAGATAATGGATGCACCAGAGCCATTACAGACAATTCTGAGCCGCGTCATTCAAAGTTTCTAATTATCCGTTATTTTAATCTCGTGGATTTCACCAGGTAACTCACACTTTTAATCATTATTCAGTCCGATAGCCAATGACTTCAAAGACTGATAGCATTTCTTGGTTTAGAGGCCGCTAACTTTCTCCCAACCTACACCTACTCAAGACATCGCCTGTCGAGGTAGGCGATGATAAGGCATACGTAACTGATGTCCGAACCCTCTCAGTTGATGGAGATATACTGTTTCATCAAGCGATTTGCCACCTTTGCCAAGAACCCTATGCCTAAACCTTAACATTATCTACTAAGCAATTCCAGAATGTTCGAGGAATGCTTAGAAGAAAACTGTAACCAGACACTAGTAAATTACGAATATCCACTATTCATAATGGCCACGTTTTACACTCATGAAGTAGAACAGAGAGAACTGCTGCACAGTTTGCTTGTCCTTTGGTTGGCAGACAAATGTCTTGCATAAACCACAAAGGACAAAAGTTGAAAAGCTAATTGAGCTTTCTGAATCTGTGCCGACGTTTTGCCAGACGCCCGACCATCATGACCGGTGAGACTTCCAAAATAAGTTAGACAACCGATACGCCCAACTACATTAAGTAACTAAGTATGCCAGTCTTGAAGCAACATTGTGAATTTGGAGGAAAAAATTAGCATCAAGAATATCCCTGCATTGTTGATTATGGTCATCAGATGACTGCATTTTCTCAGCTTCATCGTCAAACATAACTACATCATCTGCGTATTCCAAGCCAACAAGTGAATCTTCTGAAAATTCACACGATGTCTATGATAAAGTTAAATAACACTGGAAAACTGACAACCCTGACGAACACCATTTGAAGTTACCAATTTCAATGACAGTTTGCCATAAACTCTGACTCGACCAGCAGTTTTGAAGCAGCTAGCCTTCGTATGATTGATGTTTTTCTATGGTACTCATTTCAATGACAGTCACTACCGTAATACCTCACGAGTAACAAAACTGAATGCTACCTTAAAGTCAAGAAATACAATTAGAGTCGGACATCGTAATACGTACAATATTAACTGACTCATAACCATTTTATCTGAGTGTTGATTTTACATTCAACTAACGAACCAAAATCTTGGGTGCAGATTCACGATAAAAGGGTTGCTTGAAAAGAAATATTACATGTTCATCTTATTATTCACTAGTAAGTGCATCTATAGGAAAAAATAGTGATTTTTTGTTAGAGTAAACGCACTTTGAACATGTATAATACACATCTTAAAATTTGAACGTGAATATTTTAAATTTTGAAAATGATCGTGTTCGATATTGGCTTAGATAAGTTTAAAAAGACTACTGAGCACTTTAATTGTATCCGTGTAATATTCGCAATAGTATAGTGCCTTATATGAACACACAAACACCATTACGAGGGAGGACCAAATACATGTGCGCCACATACTAACAGTGAGGTAGTGAAGAGATAGAGGAGTGAGTATAACAAAAGGACCAACAATAAACAAAAATTAGTGTATGAGCTTGAAATGATAATAATAATAATAATAATAATAATAATAATGAGAGTTCAGTTATGAAAAATACGACCCGAAAGAATTCTTTCGATTAAAAATTACGTTCAATTATATATAAAAAGTTACAGAAAGATAGCCATTGGTTTCTATTCTGAGCCATTTCCAATAAAGTCTCAGGCTACTGAGTTGCTATATTTCTAGGACCTCAACTAGGAAGTCGTGAAGGTCCAACAAAAGTCAGTTTTGAACAGCTTTCTTTCATACCATGACATCATGTCGTGCACTGACCACCACTTCGCTTCTTTTAAGCAGTCCGAGAGTCGGCAAATAATACACAATGTGCAACCCGCTGGGACGGTATTCGTAGGACATGTCCAAGCCACCAAAGTCGACATTTCAAGATGGTGACACCAATTGAATTATCTATGCTGTGACAGAATACAAGTAACTGAACTTCTGCATTAGCAACATGATGTTACCACTGGATGTCAGCAGTCCGTAAGAGACAACGATAATCAAACACTTGGCACTCCCAACTCAAAGAGGCCAGACTTCACAAGTACAAAGTACAAGTGCTCTCATCGTCGCGTTTTCGATCCGACCTTTAATAGCCAGACTAACAACACGAAGTTACCAAGAATGGACCATATTAGTATAGATCACTATGGCTTTTACTATACATAAACTGATCTCATCACTGGCAGCTACCTGAATACAAGAACTTCTCAAATGCTTCTATCTCCTCACTATCAAGAGTGAGTGTACGTCAAAGGTCCTACTGATCTTGTAAAAGTACTTTGCACTTCGAAGGTGCAAAGAACAAAAGGACACAACATGCAGACAATAAAAATCAATGTCAAGACATTCTGAAGACATAGCTAGCCCTATCTGTTATCCGATCTTCATTGGTGTGCAAAGGTTGAAGGAAGCCAGTTCGAATGGTATACGTGGTTTCAGAAAGACTGTTTCACTATTCGTATTAAGTGGCAGCATTCAAACTCCAACCAGTTAGTGACATGAAGTCGTTTAGACACGACAGGATTTTCACCATAGGCGAGCTGCTGAATAAGTTCAAAAATAAAATATACACAAAATGAGAATAGAAGGGAATAGACAAGTAATGTAGTATTAATATATAAAAATGAGTGTTGACAAATGATTGTGAATGTAATTTGTCAGATTGAGAATTGAAGCGAGAATACATTTTTTTCAGCTACAATCATCATTTGATTTGTGTGTGCGCCGGTTGCCCAAACCAAAGCAGATGGTTTTCTTGGGGGTCAACTCTAAGAGCATTTGACCTAGAGGCCTGATCCAAGGAGGCACCAAATACACAGTGGGGCCAGTAGCAGTTACCATTGATTTGTATGAAGACTGTGACACCACCCGGGTGTCCAGATCGAAGCAGGTGGCTTCCTTAAAGGGCCACATCCCGAGCCTTTGAGCTGTAGGTTTAATCCACAAGGCAGTGAAGCAACTTTAGGAGATGTGGTCTTACAGAAGCTGGTGACCAATAATTGGTTCATACTCCATTAGTTTCTTCAGGACCATTGAGTTCATGTGTACCATTGGCTTTGAATTAGAGGTATACCACTTCTTTACGTGGACCCTCCATGTCCATCAACCCGGTTCATGCGCCAAACATTCGCTTTTCGTCTCATTAATTTCGTAAAAACACCCTCATTGCGAGAAGGCAGTGGCTGTATTCTTATGACTATGTGAGAGCATTTCGAGAGGAAGCAAACTGTCAACATCCTTGGCCGTACTATGACATTTGAAGGCCAATCTTGTTCCACTCAGTCAGTCAGTCAGCTACAACGTAGGACCAGGCACATATGTGCATCGGTCCAGGTTGCCATACCTCATTAGCACAGCAAGATGAACAGCGGATTCATAGGAGTGGTTAGGTCAAAGGTTGCAATAAGGATATAGTATAGGAAGAAAGAATTAGTTCGTAGACAGAAAGAATGAAGTTATTTTTGTCTCTTAGTTTAAGGGAAGACAGAGAGTGTATACACCGACGCCATTGTGATCGATTCTGAGCCATGTCACCAAGAGTCTCCAACCATTGGTTACGAAAGTCACGCGGACCCCAACCAAGTAGTCTGCATCTACCAACATGGCTCAGACTAGAAGTTAGTGACTTCAGGCACTGATGCCACGTTTTGGTTTGGCCGCCCCTAACTTTCTTGTTCCACTACCAGTAGTGCTGTTACTACTTCTATCACACAGGAATACGTCTTGATAATTTCATCTCACACATATACTACATGTTCCACGCTACTTGAGATTGACAACACAACTAATCTATATCCCCCATCAGCTATGCAGGAACAACATTTCAAAGCCGTTTTATTGTTCACATTTGGTATATTCACTCTCAAACTAGTTACTGAAGATTCGGGTGTAAACCGTAATTACTAATTCAAGATAGAACAATTATACGTGATCAGTTCAACCATTTAATTTTTTATTCACATACAGTACAACTCAGCAAATACATGAATAGAAAAAACAGGAGGTTCGAACACTGAACCTAGATATCGACTTAAATAAGCAGAACTTCATGAAAGGTCAGATGTAATCAAAAAGTTAAATGTTTACCTACTGAAAGTAATGAGACCCTATAATTGAATAGTTCATTTGCATAATAAAAGGTGTATGAGAGTAATAAACTCCCAACCATAGTCTTAAACATAATTAATGATGGAATATTTTAAATTAATAAACAACTGAATTGAAAACAATCCGTGATATGGAAGAACTAACCAGTGGTTAGTTGGAACTAAACGTTCAACTTCAAGGGAAAAACAAACAAAACACATATTTATCTTTTTAAATGTTATATGCAAAATATTATTGATTTTCATAGAATACAATCGAATTTTCCTCATGATGGATTTCGACACGCATTTAATAGGTCATCACAAATAGTTTTTGCATCGCCCAATAGCATTTCAGTATTTTCTTTAAAGAATATAGGATTATCAACTGCCGCATAGCCAA